ATCTGGATCTTCATCATCCTTGCCCAAGCATCCTCCCTCCCTACCCTTAGGCTACAAACCTGGGCCATCCTTCTCACTCCTGCATCAAGACACAGAGGTAGTCCAGAAAAATCCCTGGGGAAATGGCTCACAAACCTGGTTTTCTCCCTCTCTTCTCCTTCCTCTATTAACAGAAGTCACCTCCACTCAACAAACAGGCTGGGAATGGGCCCTGCACGGCAGGTCTGACTCCACAGCCCCACGACCTCCTGCTCCTTCCAGGTCAGATCAAAGTACCAAGCGGCTCACCTTGCTCACCCCTCAAAGCCCCAGAGCCTTTCCAGCTCTTCTGCCCCCAGACACCTTGCTGGTGTATTTACTTAAGGCTGAATGCTATATCTGGAAGTTCATTAATTTTTTGTGGGTGCCAAAATGCGGATCATTTGTGCTTATCCTCAACTAAATAAGTAAGGTCATAAGAGGTAATGCCATGGGTAGTGGAATGTAAACAAACACATTCTACCTCAATAAACATGCTAATTTCCAGCTATAATATTCACAAGTAAAAGATCCATCACGCCGACCCTATTTGGCAAAGGCAGCGGGCCTCATCCGTCAACGAGGGAGGCTCCCGCCAGTTCGCTGCGGGAGGGAAATAGTACAACTTAACTTGCTTGATGATGCCCTCGGGGGGAAACATGAGCCTCATAAATGAGTCTGGAAATGTGATAAAAGGATAATCTTGCATAAATGAGCCTATATCATCATTACCTGCACCGACCAAGGCCAGGCGCAGGCTTTGAGTGATGGAGTCACATTTCATATAAATTAAGGCCAAGGAGTCGATGCACCAGGCCAGCGGGAGCTCTCCGTCCTTGCCGTGTCCCACTGGCCACCCTTGCCTGAGGCTGCCAAACAGGATTGGTGTGAGGCCAAGCGGAGGCTTTAGCCCTGAGTGGGGCTGAGGTGCCGGGGTGGGAAGAACGAGGGCAGCCCGGGCCCTGCCTGAACACAAGCGCAGCCTTGGCAAAAAGGGTAACATCAGAGGGATCTTGCCCACCTCACGGAAAAATTAAGGAATCTACTATTCTATTAACTCAATAATATTTATCGGTCACGTAATTAAATGTCAAGACACTCAGATAAGCACTTGGAAAATCAAAATAAGATGAAGCCCTTGCTTTAAGAATTCACAATGGGCCCAGGGAGGCAAAGCAAGTCCTCGCAGCCCGCTTGGTCTACGGTCAAGTGTAGAAGGTGCTCAGAGGATGGAAAGACTCCCTGGGCCTGGGTATGGCCGTGAAGGTCAGGTCCACCAGTGCGTAAAAAACAGCTGGCTCCTTCCTCTCCTCTCGGCCCTCTCAGGCCCCTCCCCATCCCCAAGGCCTTAAAGGATACTGGCCCTGCCCCCTCCCATAGGTGTGCAGTTTCTGCTGAGTTCCTTTGTCACTGCCTGTGAGTCCCTTTAGCAAAAGACAGAAAGATGGATGACAAATTCATAGAATATATACACCATCGGAGAAAAGATCTGGTGGAGACCTGGATGCCCCTTCTGACCCTTCCTTGCCCCACCTGTGCCTCATTGCTTGCGTACTGGCAGCTGCAGCTCACAACCACCCTCTTCTGCAGAGGTCTGCCTTTGGCCAAAAAGGAGGCTACCCCTGCCTGCCCTCTGATGTCAGACTAGGTGACTGAAGGGTACAGAGGCTGGCCCCCTTGACTGAAAGGGGTCAGGGGTCATGCTCTAAGGTACAGTTCCCACCCAGCACTCCCTGTGGATCAGGCTGAGGCTGGACTCCAGCCGAGACCACGTCCTTGCTGCCTCAAACTCCTTCCCTCACTAAGTACTCCTGAGAACAACCCCCCCACGCCCCCCGCAATTAACCCCATATATCTAAATCTCATCTCAGGCTCTGCTTTTAGGGAACCTGACCTAGGCACCAAATTTTCTCTTTCAGAACCCAAGTCTTGTGTACTGTCTCCTCAAAGGCAGACATGGAAACAGGCCATCACGGAGTAGTGTGGTGGGGGCAGTACCCCCGTTATGACCAATCTGCTGAAGGGCCCAGAGAGGGAGCAGCTAAATATGCCTCAGAGGATTGCCTCAGAGAAGGGGTGCCTACCTTCTTTGGGCTGGGGCCTGTGATTTCCAGATGGTGGAGGTGGGAAAGGTGTTCTAGGCAGTGGGAACAGCATGCCCTTTAATTTCCCAAGTACTTTCATATATCACTTCGTAGCAAATAGAACATGGGATGTAAAGTGGAAAGGGCTTGTTTTAAGTGCCCCAGAACCTTCACCAGGGTTGAGGTGTGGCCAGGCCCTCCTCCTGCAGTAAATGCTTGTTACAAAAATGAGTGGCTGCGTGTAAGCGTTAAGCAAAATCATTGTGAATATTACTCCGGGGAACAACATTTTATCTATTCTGTCATTTTTCCTGTGGCGCCTGATTCCTCTCTACATCAGAAAATTCTTTACATCAGGGACTGTGGCCTGGGCATCGGAGTATCTCCATGAGGTCTAGCTCTGCTCTTGGCAGAGAATTGATGCTCAGTATATATTTGTTCCATGGCTTTGAACAGTTGACTTGAGAGAAGGAGGAGATTAGCAAAAACAGAGGGTGTTTAGGTGTAAAACACCTTCATTCTTTTATTCGCCGAACATCTTTGTGATGAGATAGTGGAATCAATGACCAAGAATCAAGGAAGAGAGGAAACAATTGCACACCTACTGTGTGCAGGAATTGTATTAGGCGCTTTTATACACTACATTTAAACCTCACAATAACCTAGAGGTGGGTGTTATCATTGCCACTTCACAGATGATGAAACAAGGGGGAGCAGATGTGCAGTGGACATCTAGGTGTACAAAGGTACAGAGCCCATTGGTCTTTCCATCCTCTCTCCCTTCATCCCATGGGAGGATATTTTTAAATCAGAGTTGCAGAGGCCTGGAAGGAGTTAACCAGAATTTCCCGGAGGCAGAAAATCTGGAAGACCTTCAGGAATCCCTTTCAGCAGAGAATCCTCTGATTCATGCTGCTTGGGCCCAAGGATCCCTGATGGGCTGTAGCTCCCCACCCCAGGCCAAAGCCAGCTCTCCTGAGTTGTATCCCAAACCATGCCTCTAACAGAGAGAGAACCAGGCTTCCAGGCTTATTTGATTCAGAACCTGCTTTAGGATCAATATTCTGAAGGAAGAAAAAAGGTATAAACGCCGTTGAAAAACTGAGCTGACGAGCTCGTGGGAAACCTGAGCAGCAGAAGTCTCGGTCCAAGCGCTGGCTGAGAAATTGCTGGCCCCTGCCAAGCCAGGCGAATGGATGCTTGCACATTCCTGGGGCTGCGTGTTTCAAATACTTTCCGCGGTTTCACCAGTGGAGGGCCAGGAGAGAAGAATCTGTCATTACCAACTTGGGTCTGCAAAACAGCTTGGCTGGCAGGGAGCTGTGAAATTGCAGGAGGCGGAAAACCTGACTCATGAGCTACAGTGGGGAGCTAGGAAAAAGGCAACCGACCTCAGACCCACAGGGGCCGGCGTGGATCCTTTGACTCAATACATTCTTGCCAGTTAACCACCGTTACTGCTCCTTCCTCTGGGATGAGAGCCTCATGCAGTTTCCATCAGGGCAAATATTTGTTGAGCACCTACTAGGTGCTATGCATCATGCTGAATATCTGATTCAACAACCCAAGGAAGTTAGCAGAGTGGACATAATATGCTTATTTTTGAAAGAAGAAACAGGCCAAAAAGGTGTCGGAACTGCCCCATGCCACACAGCAAATGGCCAAAACATTAGTTCATTCTTTCTGTATTGAGGGCCTGCTATGTGCAGGCACTGGATCAAGGACAGAGGTGCAAAGATGGAGATGATATAGCCTTTTTCAGTGACGGGCTCAAAATCTCAGAATTGAAACATCTGGTGTTTTTTAAGACATGTTCATATCTGCTACCAAAGTTTTCTTATTAAGCCATATGACAGAGAACGGGCAAGGATGAGTTGGAGACCTGATAACATGGAGGTAGGAGAGAGGAAGGATATGGTGGCAGAAGGAGCCGAGTGACGAGTCAGGGGACTTGGCTTCTCTGTTCAGCCTTTTGATAACTAGTTTAGCTGTATGACCCAGGGGAAGTCACTTCAGTACTTTTGGGTCTCAGTTTCTGAAAAATACACTCTTCATCCCAGCCAACCACCCTTTGGAAGTACCGTTC